TTCCTTCTCCTTGTCTCCTCTCTGAGCCTCCCTTTCCCTCCTCGTGGCGAGCTCCCTGCAAGAGCGTGCATCTACCTCCGCCTTCCCACCCCCGTTCTCCCACGCTGCACCTGTCGTGCGCACGAGAGCGTCGAGAGAGGTGGTAGAATAAAGCCTCAACTGGGCGAGTACCGCGTACTCGGTAAGGTCGAAGCCACGCTAAATCCATTTATCTCGCGTATGTCGGTGCTACGTATACGTTTATGAATAGGAAAAAAAGAAATAGAGAGAAGGAGTGGAAGAAGAGAAATAATACGGAGACATCGAAGAAGCTGTTTACTGCAAAATTTAACCTTTAAAGAAGAGCTCTTTTCGAATGATTTTTTTTTTTTTTAATTTGATCTTCAAACGTGTGAGCTTGGAAATAAAGAAATCGAATGCTGAAAATGACCCGGAGGAGTCACGTGAAATGATTGGATTAACAGTTAAGAGCAGGAGAAAATAAAAAGTTAAAAATGTAGTCGCTACAAGCCGCTCATTTGCAATGCTGATTATCATTCTCATCAGCTGTACGAGTAATTGAATTATTTAATATGACGTAATTTAATTATTAAACAATGTAATTTCATTATTAAACAGTTGCAATGAATATGCATCACGTGTTTTTTTTTTCCACTCCTCACAGAAACCGTAAACAATTTCAAAGCCCAGCCGTTTTTAACGTCTTTGATTTCTGCACCGTGATTCGAGTTTCAGGGCACTGCTCGGAGTCCAATTGGGATTCGATTTCGTGCACCAGTTATTAGTCTCCAGTCGGGACCCAAAGTTAGCACGAGAATCGAAGGGTCCTAATCTAATCCACCTGGTCGATTAAGGACTGAGGGTTCAAGCGAAGGAGGAGAGGGGCGAGCGGAGTGGCGATTCGGGTCTCGTCGTGCATCCTCTTGCTCTGGAGAACGAGGGGCCCGCTGGCGTTTATGTATAATTAAACGTCTCGTTTGGGTGGGATTGAACACGAGACACTTCTAATTACCGTGGTCCGCTACGGTGTCTGTCGTTTCGCTTTTGCGAAGGGAATTTTAACGTGACAATGGCAAAGTTACACTGAGAAAAAAAAGTTGCTGCTTTTCAATAAAATATTAGTTGATTCAACTAAATGCAGCCGATCACAGTCATGGAAATATTTATTAATTCAAACAAATAACATGTTTAAAAATTAGAAAATTTTGTTAACCTAAATATATAAATATTTAAACTGAATAATCATTACGGACTAAACGCATTTCAAATTAACAACTTTTTTTCTCAGTGTACTAGCGAATGGTCTGAGATGTCAGGCCTGCTGACACGAAAGACTCTCCAAGTCGATCTGCAAATATGTAATCGTTTGTTTGTCGAGAGTTTGCAATAATTATTAAACATAATTAATCGTTTTCGCACCCGATAAAAGAAATAATATAATTGCATTTTCCGTAGTTTTCCAGCGCTGTCCAATCTTTCAGCTTTCATATCATCACATAATTTCAGATAATTCGTACTTCATAGTAAATTTTAAAAACAAATTTATTTTATTAGTTTATAACATAAATATAATTTATAACTCTACTCCTCCTTAATATATTTTTTTAATTAAATAAATTGCACGAAAACAAATGTAAATTCTAACAATGGTAGGAATAAATTATTGTTATTGCTATAATGTTGACTAACATTAAAGTATTTTGTTTCATATAAGTGTAAGTATTATACATGTAATTGATAT